GGAATGTCATGTTCCAACACCCTGGAATGATTAAAAGATCGCGGAAACAGAACGTGGGTGAGGACATAGTGTAGTATACGGGACTCCACAGAAAGCAACCCCACCGTATAGTGCAAGTGTTCCCCACGGACTCTTCTCTGCTCCTGCACGGCATCCTCTCATACATATCCTGGAAGTACTACACCACTATCAGCGTCATACGCCACAGTCTGAGAAGAGTCAAAATCATAGCCGAGTATTTCCAACCATGCAGGTGCCGTCATGATGATCTCTATTCCACAGACCCTCGACCTCAGCTCGCCCTGTACGTAGCTGAGGTTATGGTAGAAGGCCCGCACCATAAGCTCTGAATACGGACATAAGGTCTCGGCCAACACCCTCAGATGTGCCGCCTCCAACACCCCCACAATTTCAAATCACTCCTTATCAAAAAAGGCTGTATCCAAAGATTTTGGAGCACATAACGGCCGGTTCAAATGGTCACGTACGAATGAAGCGTGGACGGCAGGGTCGTCCTCAAACAGATACCCATACGGGAGGTCAACAGTATCAGGCTCTTCGTCTTGTCGCCTTGACGAAGAAGGCCGCTCTTGCCTATGCTTGGTGCGTCTCTCAAGTGACTCATTGCCCTCATCGCTTGGTCTTCTGCGGCTCGTCATTTGTTTAGGGTACCTACAATGAAACATGTCAGCATTTAACTATATGAAACATGTCATGATGGTAATGAAAACTTGCAACATAAGGGCTGTAAACCAAAAGCAAACTTTTGCCACATACAAACTTTTCAAACAAAAAAATTCACACAATGCAAAAAAATAAACCTTAGTAGATTAGGGTTACAAAACCTACAACAAACGCTTTGATTAGAGTTCACAAATTCGGACAGCAAACAAATAAAAAAAATTCCTAAACCTAAAACACAATGCAAGTTAAGAAACCTTACCTATCCTTCAGATTTCACGATTTGGACCGTATTTGGGGCCAATCCACACACCTAAGGGAAGGGTTTGGGGCGTTCTTCAGCTGCTCCTGCGGATTTGGGGTTTGGGCCGCCTCCTTAGTCGATTAGGTCATCCTACTCCCCCTCTGTCGAATGAGGGGTTTTTAAAAAACAAATCCGTCGATATTTAGTCGACTAAATATCGTTACTTAGTCGACTAAATATCCCAAAAATGTAGTCGATTAAGATGATTTTTTAGTCGACTAAATTTGCGGTAGTCCACTTTCTGAAGATTGACCATTTGCTCGACTAAAACAGCAAGGTAGTCGACTAAAAAGGGGCAGGTTGGTGGATAGTTCTTGATCAGGGACAAATTGGTTATTAATTAATTAATGAGGGACAAAAGGGTCAAAAAACCAAATTTCAAACTTCGAACTATTTGAACTTAATTTTAAAATATTATATAACATTCATCTTTATGAAAGATTAAGGTGACGTGACACTATAAAAACCATGCTTGTCAAATTATTTTCATAAGACGCTAAGCAGCATGAAAACTGGTCAGAAGTATGTGTTTAGTAATCTTTATTACATAAAATCTTGTATCAACAACTCATCCTAAATATATCAAACTTGTAACCGTCGTGAGGAAATAGGCAAATATCAGCCAAATATGCAAAACCAAATAAATCTGAATTATGTGAACTTGCTTTACAGAACCATTAAATTTTCAGCTCATCACTTGGGTTGTCACAAGTAATGTTATAAAAATCGAACATGATCCATCGGGTAGATTTGATAATCGGTGAATTGGTGATATAATCAGTTCGTTTTTTATATTAGACCTGTCATGTAATAGAACCAGTGCAATCTAATCGAATTTTGTAAAAATCAGTCATCCGATCGGTTCAAGGTTCTTAAAAAAAAACTAGTTTGTTCTCGTCATTTGATGTCTTTTTTTTTTTCACTCTCACATACAAATAGTTTGTTTTCTTTTGAAATATTTGAGTGATCTGTTGCTTATTGAGTTACATAAATTATGTACCTATAACATTAATTATTATTTTGGTTATGCAATATGCAGCGAATTTTGATTTAATTTATAGTTATAGATGTCGTCTACTAAACTTGAAGCACCGATATCACAAGTATTTTATGTTTGATTGATCATTTGTTGGACAATGATATGTAATTTATTATTTTTCATACTAAAGTATTTGAAACTTGTATCATTTTTTTTATAAATTTATATATATTTGCCGGGTCATACGATTGAAATAGTGATCCATTGGTTGAACCAGTAACCCAATACCTCAACCGGGTAAATAATCGAGTCGAATTTAATAACATTGGTCAGACAGAATAATTTTTCTTTTAGATAACCGGGGGAAAAAAGTTAATATATTATTATTTTAATAAAAAATTACGAAAACATAATTGTTTTGAACCAATTTACAGATTGATTGCTCTTAGTCGTGCCCCACACAAGTGCAACAAGTCGCGCCCCACATAGGCGCAACATGTGCAAACGGTGACAACACGTGACACAAAAAAACTCAACAGTTTGATCGTAAAATTTTGGAAAGCCATAACTTTTGATTCGAGTGTTCCAATCAGATAATTTTTTTTGTTCCACATAAATTTTTGAGATCTACACAATGACATCTCATTGAAAGAGATTTGGTAAAAAAAAATTCGGACACCCGAGTAATAGTCTATATAATCGATTACATGAGCTCAAACTTATCATGAAACTTCGGAAGACCATAACTTTTGGCTCGAGAGTGTGAATCAAGCGATTTTTTTTTATTTCATGTAACTTTTTTGAGATCTACGCACTGAAAAATTCCCAAAGAATTATTTGTTATAATTGGAAAGTAAAAATTTAAATAACATCATTCACAAAGATAAAATATGTCAAACAAGGCACAAGGAAACATTGTTTGTGAATTCTTTTTTACCAAATCCCCTACGAAAAATTTGCCACGCGTAGCTCTCAAAAAGTTATATAGAATAATAAAAAAAACATCTGATCTGGACATCCGAATCAAATTTTATGGTTTTTCGAAGTTTTACAATAAAATATCTCAAATTCAAAAAAAATTGGAAATATTTTTTACCAAATCTCCTTCAATTAGATGTCATTGCTTAGGTCTCGAAAAGTTATGTGGAATAAAAAAAATACCTGATTCAGACACCTAAGTCAAAAGTTATAGCCATTCGAAATTTTACGATCAAATTATTGATTTTTTTTGTGTGCCACGTGTCGTTACCGGATATGTCGCACGAGTGTGGGGTGGTGCTTAGTATAATAAATCTGTAAATTGATTCAAAATAATTATGTTTTTATAACTTTTTTATTAAAATAATAATATATTAATTTTTTTTCCAACTTGAAAGTATCCCCACATAATATTATTCAGCCACTTTGTGCTCAGTGTATGGCCCCTAAAATTATCTTTTCATTAAAACAAATAATGTATTGGAACAATGCCAACGGAAAATAGCGAAACTGATCCGCTTCTAGGGAGATGCAATTTCCCTATAACTCCCAAAAAATTTCATAAATTTGTTTTGACGAAGATTTGAATCCTACACAAAGCAGGTACTCGATCACTTTTCTACAAGCATCTTTCCAATAATGTATAGGGAGTGCTGAAAATGCGAAAAACTCACTTGGTGCTGTTGTAGATGTGCAGTTCCCAAGTTCTTCCTCCGTCTAGTTTGATAGTGGACACTGTTTGTCTCCAGTTAGACTACAATCTAAGTTAGATTTGATTTTCTGCCATCCTTTTAATATTGGGTAATCTTTTCTTCCTTTTACATGACACAAACAATTTTTTTACATAAACATAAAAGTAGGTTCATTAATTTTTTTACTTTTCTTTTATTTTAAAAATAATGGATCCCACAATTAATTATCTCTATAACATGATCTAAGAATTTTTCTACAATATAATATTAGTTTTTCCTTTTAATATTAATTTGCTTATATATGCAGAGTTTTCAAATCCTGAATGGAAGGTTTATTTTTTGAATCATGAATAGTAAAATTAAAAAAAAAATAGTTAAAATTTTATGCTGTTTGGTTTGAATTTTGGTAGAATTAATTTCAAAGGAATTTCTTCGAAAAAGCAATTGTTGTTGAAAAGTTAATTTATATTTTAGAATGATATTTTAAAAAATGAGTTTGGAAGAATCAATCTTGTTTAGATGATAAAATACAATAACTTTTTAAGTGTAAATATAAATATTTTTAATTTTTTTATAAATCTCACACCTAAAATAATAACCAAACTACTGTAATTATACCGTAAACATGATTCTGGCTGTAAACAAACAAACTGTTAATAAGATCCGTTTGCTTGATTGAATTATTATAATAATTTTCACTAGAAAAATAATACAATTATAACTCATTTAATTTAGAATATAATAATTATTCGTGTCAGTTTTAAATTCGTTTGATTAAATTTAGATAAGTTGTTTTTTAATTGATTTGTTTAAAACATTTAATTGGTTAATTTTTTATTCGTTTGCTGAATTAAAAGTAATTAAAATTAATATTAAATTAATTATTTTAATTAATATAATCTGTAAAGGTTAAATATTAAAAAATTGGGAAAAGGATTTTATTATATAAGGTTAGTTTGAAAAATTATTAAAATAATGACATAACATGAGACCCACATGTAAACATATTTTTAATGTCACAATTAGATTTTTATTTGCATATTTTTTTCTTATGATCATAGAAATATTTTTTAAGCCACTCGTACTTAGTTAAAATGATGAATATGATTTGAAGGCTTATCATGACTTTTTATTTGCAACCACTAAATTTATTTATATGCAAAACACGTTTTTATGAAAAAATAAATTTTAAATATAAAAAAAAATTAAATTTATGAGTATTTATAATCTTCTTTTTTAATTCAAGAAAAGAAAAACCCATAAAGTAAGGTAGGATGCAATATGCAAAGCATCGGTAAGGTATCATAATATTCCCTACGGTACGCGCTTCGGACGAGCGTGGTCTATTATATTAAGAGAAGAGATTCGCCGAGCGAGACGAGAAACTCGAAACAACGAGATATTGTCTTATTTTTCTCTCTTTCTTTGTCTCTCCAAGACTTCAAAGAAAATCAATGGCGTCGAGGGACAAGAAAGCATCGAAACCCTCGACCAGTCGAGCTGGCAGGATCCGTACACTCTCCGATCTGAACCGGCCATCCGCCGACTCTGACAGCGACTCCGATGACCCTCAGGAGTATTACACCGGCGGCGAAAAGAGGTTTCCCTTTATTCTTATCACTTCTCTCTATTTTTTCTATAAATAATTCAACTTTCCAAAAAAATTTGGTGTTTTTATGGTTCTGCTTTAATGGGTTGTTTGTTTGTTGTTTTATCCCATAGGCACCTGTTTGGAATGCTTTGTTTAACCAGTGGGAAACCATCCTATTGGTTTGGTTATAATTAGCAAGATTGACATATAAATGGATTTTCTTGGTAACAATATATTAGTAGTTGATTCTGTGGAAATTATTTTACAAATTATGTAAATTATAGAACACCAATCGATCAAAAATATATACCTCTCTTTGTGATGAGTAAAAGAAGTTTGCGAGTTCTTCCTCCTACAGCCCTACTCTATGTTTCTCAGATAAGATAGCTATTTGATTGAGCAAGTCTGTTAGGGGACTAACCCCAAATATAACTATTTATTTAATAATCAATCCAGTAGGAAAAAATTACTGATCATCCCAAATATTTAATTTGATCACATTTAATTTAATAATGAGATTATCGTGCTTGTCTTTTGGAAATTAACCGAGTAATAATCACCAAACACGTGGATAAATTAGGTAAATAGTTGGTTGGGAGAGTTTTACCGCCCCTGTAGTCCTACCCGGCTCGACCAGATCAGTCAAGAATCAATAAATCAGCGTGTAAATCTCAAGAAAAAGAAGAAGAATAGAAATCAATCAAGTAACTGACCATATTATCAGTTTATTTTTTTATAAAACAAAATTAAAAGTTAATGGTAGGCCATAAAAGAAAATTTCCAAACTGTTCTGTCTCTGTCCTGCTTGATGCCAAGTCATTAGTTTTGAATTTCATTGCAGCTTGTCTCCTGGTATTTCATTCCCTATCTTTAGCAATTCTGGCAACTCTTAAGCTCTCAGTTCCATGATATAATGTCATATTCGTAAAATATGTTCTATTGGCTTACCCGTTGTCAGTGGCGAAGCCAAAAGAAAAACTCAGCCAGTGTCAAAAGATCCACCAGGTAGAATTCAGTCAGTGTCAAGGTTGTATTATTTTTGAAAATTCAATCAGTACTAAGGCTGTACTACTTTTAAAAATCAGCTGTGCCAAGGCACCAGCTGAGACACAAGTGGCTTCACCACTGCCTGTTGTTGCCCTTGTGATCATGAGAGTTAACTTAAATGATCAAGCTGGTATTGGTATAAGACCAGTTGCGAGGTTGAATTCTCTGAGCAGTTTCTTGGGATTATTTCAAACTCTAGCATGATTTATGTATAACTGAAAATGAGAGCTACATTCTACCCAATAGAAAAAGAAAAAGAAAAAGAGAAAGAAAAAGAAAACGAGAGCTACAGTCGTTGCTGCCATTGTACATATTCTTTCTCTTATCATGATTAGATGCCATTATTCTTCAGTTCATCTTTTTATGATTGTAGGTTGGGATTGTTTTGATGTGTTACAATTGGTGCCTTCTTCCCACATTTTTCTGTTGTATATGGAGCTTTAGTGTGTGTTTGGACTTTGGATTACAATTTACAAAATTGATTTTGGATGAATCTAATTTTGCAAAATTGATTTTGGATAGAAGTGTGTTTGAGTGAATTGATTTTGGTTTGGAGATTTTGATATAATGAATATTGCTTGGATAGTGTTGATAAAAAACACCTTTAGATGTTTAATTACCAGAAAGGGTATAATTTTGTCTTGAATTAAAAAAGATAAATAAATTTTAAGAATATGATTATACATAAATGGGTGCTGGAATAATTAATCTTCAAATTTAAGTTTTTTGTGTACTGTACAAGTTAATTTTGATGCACTCTCGATGAGAAAAATACATTATCATCTAATTATGCGGTGTCACATCATTTATTGAGTCTGACTTCAGCTTTTTGACCAAACAAATATGTTTGATAAAAATAAATAATTTAAATTATTTTTCAAAAAATATTTCAAATTAATGCGGTCAATCCTGCACGTTGACCATATGGGACAAAACGATACGAGACTTAATGCCAACGTGGAAGTCTTGCACGTTGATCATGCGAGACTCTTTAAGTCTCCCGCACGTTGATCGTACGAGACTTAATGACTGCGTGTAAGTCTCTCATGTTTGCTGTAAAGTCTTGTATGTTTGTCATACAAGACTTCCATGCTGACATTAAGTCTTGCATCGTTAACATGCGGTCAATGTGCGGGATTGACCGCATGAGTTTGAAATATCTTTTGAAAAATGAATTAAATAAGTATTTTTTTTAAGAAAAACATTGGTTTGGTCAAAAAGCCATCTAACTTCTCATATAGTTATTCCCATAGTCAAATTCATTTGATGATGTGTTAATTCAAGAATGAGTGATAGTGTAAAAATGTTTTATATTGCTGTTGCATTGGAATTAAACTCAAAAATATTGAGTTCTACTTATTTAAATGATATTAAATGGTTATATAATATTAAATTATAAGGGTATATTTGTCAATAAACACACAGGTGGGTTTTTCTCACTGCAAAAGCAGGAAAATGTCGCTCTTACTTTTAAGGGTTCGAACTCAAAATCACATTTGAGACCAAACTTGATTTTGTCTCAAATGGTGCTAAACATGATAGCACCATGTTTGAGTCATTTTTGAATGCAAATTGGCTTTTGAATGGTTTCAACTTGAAACCAAACATGCCATTAGTTTCACTTGTTTGAAGGCTTAGTCCTCACTTATCCCTGTGCCACATTGCGTTATGCATTGGAAATTCTTACCCAATTAAAGATTAGTCATCTAATCACATGTTATCCTTTTTGTAGATCGTTTATTACAAACATGCTTTTAGACTTTTACTTAGACCAAGTTCTATGGATTTTATTCAAAATGATCTTTGGCTGAAAGAATTTGAAAACTTAAGGCATTAGACGCAGCAAAATCATGCTTTTGTAAGCGCTTTAACACTTGTACCTTCAGGCTATTTTGGTTGAAATTTGGACAACTTTTTTCAGTTATAGGTATCAGATTTTTTAAAATCCATTAAGATGCTGCCCAACTTGTCAAAAAAATTGACGGGGAAAATCCTCAAAATGATGTCTTTTGTCCATCTCCCGATTTCATTATGTGTTTGTTTTGTCCATCTCCCAACTTTATGTTTATAAGGTTGGAACTATATATCTTAGTATCTTACATATATCTGTATTTTCTGAATGATATTTATATATAGTGAACGATATTTTTGCTTCTATGCTTCACTTTTCCAGAACTCCAAGCACTTTTGAGTGAAAGCTCACTTTAGCTACCTTGATTAGAAGTGTTTATATTTATCTGTCAAATTTTGTCTTCAAAAAGTGTATAATCTTTTGTTGATTAAATGGGATTAGTACATGTGTAATCATGCTTACTAAACTTCAAATTTAATGTACATACTACACATAAAGTTTACTGACATTAGTAATATGCATCTTCTAGATGTCTTCAGTTGGTTTTATGATTTAGGACTTTTCTATTGGATTTAACGATTGTACTTTATATCTCCAGTGGAATGCTTGTCCAGGATCCTTCAAAAGGCAATGACGTGGATTCAATTTTCAATCGAGCTAGGCAACTTGGAGCTGTGGAAAGACCTATTGATCAACTTCAGGAGTCACGAAGGTCAACAAGCTTTACTGGAACTGGCAGGTTACTCTCAGGTGAAACTGTAGAATCTGCTCCTCAGCAACCTGAGACTGTTGTTCACAACATTGTTTTTTGGACTAATGGTTTCACTGTCAATGATGGACCTTTGAGGAGTTTGGATGATCCTGAAAACGCCTCATTTTTAGAGGTAAGCAGGGAACTAACTCAGAAATGGATGGAAGATGAAAATGGAGGCATAGGTTGTATATGGCCCAAAATTATTATTATTTATAAAAAGAAGAGAAGTCCCGAGTATTAGAAGATTGATATTTTTCTAAGCATTATTAGGAATAATGTAATATTTCGTAAAGTTCTACTTATAACTTTACTTACTGCAAACTGTCATTGGAATTCTCTTTGAAGTCCAGCATATTTTATTATTAATTGTTGAATAAGTTTGTTTTCAAAATCTCATCATACTATGACTATGTTGGAATGTCTCAGAAATCTGTTTGTGCTAGTAATACTATTACTTTCTTCTTGGTTTCGTTTTGTTGTTTAATGATATTTGTTGTGTTTGAACGCAGAGCATAAAAAGATCTGAGTGTCCAAAAGAGCTTGAACCTGCAGATAGGAGGTCATCTGTTAATGTTAACCTCATAAGGAGGAGTGAGGAGTATCATGTGAGTTTTCTGTTTTGAGTTCTATGTTTTGCGTCTCTCTAATTTACTCGGAAACCAGGATGAATTAGGTTGATTTTGTCCGTTAGTTTAAGGGTTTTGAAGTTTTTCATTGTTAAATGCAATCCATATCTTCTATTTGTGCATGATAGTATGCCCATATAAAAAGTAGAAGTGCATTTTTCCACACTTGTACCTCTCTAATTTACTATAAAATTAAGCTGAATTTGGCTGACTTTGTTTGTTAGTTTTAATGTTTTTGAAGATTTGCTTTTTGAAATGCAATTTAGGTTTTTTTTAATGCATGACACGTATTTCTTTTTTTCTCTTTTGTTCAAAGTATAAATCAGAAGTGCATTTTGTCACACTTGCAGGAACCCGAAAAGCGTCATGTTTCATTTCAGGGTGTGGGAAGAACTCTAGGAAGCAGCTCTACTTCAGTGGCATCTGAGCCAACTGTGACCTCAATATCTCCAAGTACTGCTCCCACCCCTTCTGCTGGCCTCGTGGTGGATCAATCATTGCCATCAACCTCAATACAGCTTAGGTTAGCAGATGGAACCCGCTTGATATCACATTTTAATTATCACCACACAGTCAGCGACATTCGTGCTTTCATCGATGCGTCTAGACCTGGGGGTGCGGGGAATTATCAACTTCAGATGATGGGTTTCCCCCCAAAGCTTCTCTCTGATGAAACTCAGACTATAGAGCAGGCTGGACTGGCAAATTCAGTTGTCATCCAGAAATTCTAGCAAGCTGCACTTATATGCTGTATTAAAGTGAACCAGTTTTCTTTGTTTAGGTTTTCTATAGTGACAGTTTAATTGAGAGCTTTTGAACGTGAGGTCTGTTATTAGCAAAAACAAAAAATAAACGGGGGTGCGGGTTCATATTTGATTATTTTCTTCTTCTTGCTTAAGTTTTATCAAGGATTATATTTTGCTTTAGGTTCGGTTGATGGCTTAGCTTTGGACCCAATTCTTGTGGTTGGATCAGAGCATGGTAATTATCCTTTTCCTTCAAGCTAGCTGGGCCTATTGGCTGAGTTTGAAACGTATTGAATGGGGTTGAAATATAGGATAGTCCATATACCCATCAGTTTTTTAATATGGCCACTATGCATGGTTGTACATATTCTAAATAAGCTAATCTGATTTTCAAAAAAAATAAAAAAGAAGCTAATCTGCACCTTATGAATTTTTGCTTAAGTCTGTGCATGCATAACAAGGGAAAGGGAAAGAATTTGGAGGGATTACCACCTCAAATAGAATTCCCCTCGCCAACCTTGAAGACCATGGTTTATCTTCCTTTGCCTCAAGTAACTGATAAGCCGGAAAAATGACCTAATTATAGGCGAATATAAACATGGTATAGTATTAGTTATTGGGTTTTATATATATCATATTGTAGGAAACTTGTAATATCGTGTTACACTCACAAAAAATGATGGCCTCACTTTTCTTTTTCTTTTTTTTTTGTTTTTTTTAGTGGGACCCACATAAAATGTATTAGAGTAATATGACAAAACAAGTTTCCTGTAACATGACATGTAAAACCCTTAGGCAGTGTTTGGTTGAAGGTTTATTTTGAGATTGATGGGAAAGTGTAAGTGGATATTGGAAAATACCACGTTTGGTTCAGGTTTTTTCAAAAAATACCAGGCAAATAGGATAGATGGAAAAATGACTTTTGTGTTGATTTTTGGATGAAATTCACTGTTACAGAATACCACTTGAGATGTGGTATTTTGAGATAACTGGGGGAAGTGAAAAAACAGGTGCAAAGTTTCTTCCGAACATAGATTTTGCATATTTAAATAAATTTTCCTGGTAATATTTGGGTCAACCAAACAACTTTTTTTACATTTTCCTACAAAACTCACTTTCCAACCATTTTCCTATCAATTATATTTCGCCAGTAAAAAAAAATTTCTCCCAAAGCAAACGCTACCTTAGTTATTACTCGCAATTGTTCTGTATTACGACTTTTCGCTTATCATAAATGAAACCCTCAAATCTATTGTACAGGAGAAATGCGTAATGATACTAAAATATTTATTTACGAAAGACATTGGCTTTTGATGCGTCTTCGTATGCGTTGGTTTCTTGTAATATATAGCATTTCTCTACCCATAACCCATTCATGAGCCGAAACAAATAAAGAGCCCGACCAGAAGTTATATATTCTGGCGCATGTTTGATGCATTCTCGACACTGAAAACCCAAAAGGAACTGAAGTTTAAGGGAAGCCAATTTATCTTGAAAACTTGGAAATTGATTCTTTTTCATCCAATAAAATTTACAGTTTTCCCGTCCCACAATCGCCAACCTAAACCAACAACATAGCTTGCGCCATCACCGTCTCATTTATGCTTAGGAGTCTCTCTAAGATCGATAATTAAAATCCTTCCAACTAAATTTGGAACAAATTAAATCACTGTCGTCGTACTGTAGAACAACATCTGATAGCCACGATCTTATCTCAAGCACCTTAACATATCTTTGAGAAAAGATTCATAAAGCACAAATCTAGTGTCCTTCCATTAACGAAAAGCTAAATATGCTTATGAGGAAAGCAAGATTTGCTTCATGTTGGAAAATTGTGAACCAAAGACCAGTGATGGAACATCAATTATATCTCGCACCAACTTGTCAACTAGCAATTGAGGTGCCATCTGACTTGGCAAGTGAAATTAAATTAACCATAACAAGATATCTCACGCTGGTGGAGGGTACTTATCTTGTGTGGCGCACAGATAATGTGGTAAAGCTTGGACCCACCACTACTTCCTGCTCATTTATTCTTCTATCAAACAGGTGTCGTCCTAAGTGAAATTATGTTATTAATTAATCCTAATAGGATCATTCCCATTGGTGGAGAATCTTATTATGTGGCGCACATGAAGCTTTTATTAATAAATAGAATTTGTCAATGAAGTTTGAATATGAAACCATCAAATGAAAATATGTAACATCCAGGTACTAGAGGTTATGGGGGGACAATGAGGAAAAATATGTCAAATAAAAATAGAAGCAGAAAAGGGGTTGGAGCAATCTTCCTCAGGAGATCATGAAGGAAATGGACAAGTGAAGAATGAAACTGAGCCACATCTATTTAGAGTAGCAACCCAGCATGCTATGAACAGGAAAAGCCAATTATGATTTTATTATAGATATTGACTCCATAATCAAATCATAATTGGTCTACAAAAGTGGAAAAAGCCAATTATATCCAAGGCTCCACTTCGATACTTCTTTTAAAAAATATATAAACTTTATATCAAATTTAAATATTACAAACTTTAGCATAAAAAGTAAAATATCAATGATAACTTTGGGGTAGTAATATTAAACAAATAATATCATCAAAGTTTCGGGATTGATGCCAAATTCAACTATTTCTCTGAATGACCACACTTATATATAGATAACACCACCAATAAAGTTGCTTGCCTCCTTAAAGCCCCTTAAAAATGCGGATTAACAGTTCTATTAACCATCTTTTGGCTGTCCATAAAGTATATACTATTCAATAATCATTGACTTTACCTAAAAAAGTAAGTTTAGTAAATGTTCTTTTCAAAGTGAGTTATTTTACTAACATTTACATAACTTGATGAGGACAACTTTTAAGGACCAGTTTCGAATGTAACCAAAGAGTGGCAATCCCCCCAACAAATCATCTATTACTAGTTCATGAACATTATATCTTTTGTTTTGATTTTCATAAACTAGTATCAATTATCACATTTCAATGGCGGAGTCAGAAAAATTGAAAAATCAGTGTCAAAAATTAGCCAATCATGTAAGAAGTCAACAACTATAAAGGAAGGAAATCATTTACAATTACTGAAGATAGAAAAAACTATTAATTTTAGAAACCAGCCAGTGCCAAGGCAGTTGCTGGTTCTAATATGGCTCTGGCGCTTCGCCACTGATCTAGTAGCTAGTTAAAACTTAATTTCGTAATATTGATTATAATATCATTCTTTAGAGAATCATGGGTTTTCACTAAAAATAAAAAAAAATCACGGCATAAATAACTATATTAGTTTTAACAAATAAAATAAAGTTGATTTGTATTATTTTGATTTTTTTTTAAGTAGATTGATAAGTTTTTATTATGTTTCGACAAATAATTTGTAAACTACATAGATATAAAATTGTATAACTATTGTAATTCAATCTTATAGGCACTCAAAATATTAAAAAGAGATGTATTTCGAATCATATTATTATTTATTGAAAATATATTTATCATGTTACATAAAATAAAATATACAAAAAATGGATAAGATTGATTAAGAACAAAAATAAATAAATAAAAAGTCAATTTCACTCACTTTTTATGTATATATGACATAATTTTATCTCATATAATTATATGAAAAATATATTTTCCATTATTTATATTACATAGTTTTTATCAGCAGAGTATAATTTAGTTGTAGGGTTTTCGTTTTATCCTTTAACATAACACAACAAATTTTCTTACGCTCACAACATTTTGTGGGGTCCACATTTTTTAAAACAAAAAAATAAATAAAAAATTAAGGCACGCAAAACGAATTTCTATAACATTACACAATCACTTTTCCTACAACATAACTCTTATAAAACCCTTAGTTAGTTGTATTCTATATTTTCACACTTTTCTTACCGTAAGATATTTGAATAAGGGTTTTATTAATCTCATGTTAAAGGAGATAGTTATCTCATGTCACAGAGATAAATTTGTGGGCTCCACCACCTGAAAAAATAAAAGAAAAGAAAAGAAAAAGGTGGCACAGTTATCGAAGGGTGTGTAGGAGATAAAATGTATCTTATGTAACATAAGAAAAGTTTTTCCCTTTGAATAATCAATGAAAATGTTATAATTCTTTTTAATGTTTGATTTTAATTTTTTAATTTTTATTAATTTTGATTTTAATTTTTAATTGTCTTTCGTGGAACGGTAATAATCATTGAGTTACCTCTGGATATTAGATAATGAAGCTGTAGTTGTGTTCCGGTCTTCTTCTTCCCATCCTTTCCATATTTTATTAATTTAAAATAAAAAAAATTATGTCAATTATGAAACTGTCGATAGACGTGTGACGTAAAGTGATAGAATAAAGAAATTTAATTAGAGGAAGAGACCTAGGGTTGCTGTTCCCTCGATTGATACTATATGCCCCCACCATCACGCTCACACTCTTGCACCAGTGACGTCTCTCGACTTCACGTTACACTGTCGTGACGGATTCACGTATTATCCCCGTCTTCTCACATGTAGTACTAGTACTCCCCTTCCTTTCCCAACCCTAATTTCCACGTTTTCCAAACCCCAAACCCTAATCATAACTACCCAAGCATTTTCAAAACACCCTACGGATTTTACAATTTTACCAATGAATTTGTTAATGAAATGAGAAGTTTAAAAAGCTATAGTTTGGGAGCGTGGAAAAAAAAAATTTACCAGAGAATATAATTACTAGAGATATAGTGGAAAAAAAAGTTTAGTAGAAAAATTTAAAAAAAAATATTTGGTTGATCAAAATTTTACCAAAAAATATTTGGTTCAATTCCTTGTAACCTCCAAAAAAAAATTTACCAAAAATATTGAGAAGAATTTTATAAGTCTATGTTTGATTAAAGATAAAATATTGATGGATAAATAGGTTAAAATTATCAAATTAACCTCTTTTTTAATTTTTGAATGTCAATAGAAATAGATCTTTCCTGTTCCGTCATCCATATATCTGTCTCTCCTACCAACAGAGTCTCAAATTACATTTGGACGAGGGGCATTTCAATCTACAATATCGTGCCAATTTTTTCATTTCTCTAGTCTTATGCAAATACCACCTCAGAGGTGGTATTTGCAAACATTGTTTTTGACACACTACATGAAATTATGGGTTTAGCGGCGGTTTAATTTGGGGTTTAGCGACGGTTTACTCGCAGCTTCATTGTAACCTATTTGAGTTTGCACAACTACATCATTTGTACACACTACATCAATTTACACAACCTGAGTTTGCATGAGTAACATAGTTGTCTGATTTTA